GGGACTAAGCCCAGCGATCGCTCCCCCAAGAGCCGCCTCCCAGCTGCTCCTGGGTCCTAGCGATCAACCCATCGCGCTGCAGTATCTCTGTGTCCCGCTCCTAGTTCAGAAGGGCCCATCGTGAGCATCTAGCCCAGGGGTTCTCACGACCAAATTTTTGGTTGCTTCAAACTGGGGCCAGCAACTCTCGCTGGTGGCCGCTCTGACACTTTTTCAAAAAATACTTAATGAACTTTGGGGGAAACCAGTAAACATGCACAGAGGTAAGCGGGGAAATGGTCCCACTATTGGGAGGAATCTTTCCTGATTTAAACACCCCCGGGTGGAATCGAATAGCAGAAGGATCTGAGTCCTCGCTCCCTTCACCCAGAGCCTGCCTCATCTTGAGGGCTCCCCTTCCACTCTCCTCTGTGGCAAAGTCCTTATAACCCCGACAAGGCTGGGCCCAGGCTTCCTGAGGGGCTCGCCCCCCAATCTGGTTGTGACCACTCAGGACCCAGGCTAGAGCGTCCCCACTCCGGGTACTTTCTCCGCTCTGGACGCTTCCCTGATCTCTTCCCTGGCCATTGTCTATAGTTCAGAACAAATGAATTTTACTAAACAGCAATTAATTTAAAAAAATCAGGACACAATCGGAAAGGCAAAACTCTTAGCTCCACTCTGCAGGGCTGGATTAACTTTTTGTGGGCCCAATGCCTAACCTGTTTGTGGGCCCCCTTGGGGCAAGGTGCAGGGGGCGGGATGGTCAGTCTCCAGAGTAAAGGGCGGGCGGGGTGCAATGAGGCACAGCAGGTCAGGAGCGGCCCTGCTCTGTGCAGCCCAGCAGAGGGCGCTGTTTACAAACCAGCCCAGCGCTGTGCTGCCAGCGTGCCCCTTCCCCTCCTGGGCAGGCCTGCACCACACCACCCCCTGCCCAAAGCCCCACTGTTATGCCCAGCGCCCCCTCGCCCAGAGATCTCCCCTACTGGTCTTCCACCCCAACTGCACAGCACCCTGCACTCCACACCGCTCGCCCAGCACCCCCCGCCCATGGGTCTCCCCACTGCCCACCTCCTTCCTCACACTCCCACCATCACAGCTGCACACACCCCATATTCCTGAGGGGATTCTGCACCAATTAAAAATTCTGCACACAATATTTTAAAATTCTGAAAATTTTATTTGTCAATAAATAAATGTGGAGGCTCCAACATGGCAGTGGGGAACACAGGCCACTGGTTGCATGGAGGTGGGAGATCACCCTGCAGCCTCCCTCCACCCCACCCCACCCGAGGACAGGGATGCCTCAGTGAGGCTGCACCAGACCCTGACACAGTGCAAGGGTCAGGCCTGCCCCAGAATCACCCTGGGGCCCTGCCCCCTGTGCCAGGCACACCAGGTGTGGGTGAGCAGGCTCAGTCTGGCAGCAGGATCCAAGTACAGAGGGACTTAGTGTGAGGGGATCCAGCTGGGGGTAAGAGAGTTCTCTGTGGGGCAATCTGGGTGCGGGCGGCTCAGTGGGAGATCTGGATGCACAGAAGCTCCTTGGGGGGTGCCAGGTGCAGGGGCAATGGGACTCTGCAGGGGATCCAGGTGAAGGTGTTTGGGGCTCAGCGTGGGGGCCTACATACAGGGGAGGTGGGGTTCATTTGGATGGGGGTCCAGGTGCAGGTGGTTGGGGCTTAGTGGGGAGGGTGTCTGGGAGTTTCATTGGGGTGATACAGATGCAGGGGAGGTGGGGCTTGTCAGGGTGAGGGTTCGATGGGCCTGCTTCACAGGGGAGCCCCAGCGTCTGCCAAGTGGATGCCGCATGCTGGACTCCAGCTTCCCCCTGCCCCCACTTCTCCTATCACCTTCTCTTCCCTATCCCATACCCCTTCCCCACCTCACCATCTCCTCCTCATCCCACCCCCTTCCTTCCCTCCTGCCCCCCCTTCCTCTTTTAGCAAGTAGAGCCATTCTCCTCCCCAGCTGCTCCTCACTCTTCCTCTGCCTCTTGCACATCTCCCCTGCTCTCCCCAGGTGTGTCCATCTCTCACTGCATGGCTGAGAGCCCTCTGCTGGAGCAGGCTGACAGCTGGCAGGGATGCTACGGAAACAGTGGCACGAACTCTGCTCTGAATATCAGCAACTCCTCAGTGTCCAACTCTGCAATCGGCTCTCCGGGTGGACGGGAGTCGGCTGAGCACCTGTGTACAGATCTCGCTCCAGAGCCACTCCAGCCCCAGTCTGCCAGATCCCAAAACTCCAGTTTTATCAAAATCAAAATGTTTTGCAGAAGCATGTAAATTTTGGTGACATGTTTACCATTTCGGTTCCTGTTGCCAACATGGTACCATGTCATATTTCATAAAAGGTGACCAGCTGTCATGGAGTGTGTGGGAGTCAGGGCCCTAGGGTTACCATACGTCCGGATTTTCCTGGACATGTCCGGCTTTTGGGGCTCCAAATCCCCGTCTGGGGGGAAATCCCAAAAGGCCAGACATGTCCGGGAAAATCGGGACATGCGGGGCCGGCGGTGCTGGGCCGGGGGCTGGGGGCCGGGGGCCGGGCCGGTGGTGCCGAGCCGGGGGCCGGGGCTGCTGAGCCGAGGGCTGGGCCAGGGACCGGCAGTCCTGGGCGGGCCGGGGGCTGGCCTGGGGCCGGCACCCCAGGGCCCGAGCCGACCCAGGCTGGAGACGCCGGGGGGCCAGACTGGGCCGCGCCTCCTCCCCCCAAACCCCGCTTACCTGCTTCAGGCTTCCCACGAATCAAATGTTC